TTTACTTTATTAAAAAAAATATAACGTGTTTTTGATATTCGATAACTATTATAATTCATCTTACAATAAGTTAAAGTTAGATCTTCTTTATTCGATGATATTATAAATATAAATGTCGAATCATTTTGAATATTATAATTATATACACGTGTATATTGAAACAATAAAATTTTTTATTAAATGACAATTTTTTTAAAAATAATGCATACCAAGGTTGGGTGCCGAAAGTATTTCGGCAATAAGTTTTCCGAGTATAATGATGAGGAGGAATTGGTATTTTTTTTTGTTTATTTACTTCTTGAACAAATATTTTAGAGTTTACAAAACAATTAGTTAATTTTAATTACAATCATGTCGATTTAGTCACTTTCGACTTTTGACAAATTCCTTAAAGTGTAGAAACCCTATTTCGGCACTTTCGGCACCCAACTTTGATGCATACCAATACATGTAAATTACATTTTCTCATTAATGTTCCTATTCAAATATTCGTAATTTTATGGAAATATCCATAATAGTACATTTTCTGTGATTAATATTAATATTAATATTGTGGCGTTCTACTAGGGTGTTAGATAATAAGTACATAGGGGAAATCAAATAATAAAGGATTTTGTACCACATAAATATGTTCATGAATTGTTTTTAACAATCGGAGACTTCAAACGTTTATAACTTTGGAAGCAAAATAGCTACAAAAAAAAATTGAAAGTGTTTTTTTAATTTCTAAAAACCTTGTATTAAATTTATACGTATTTAAAATTTATGACGAAAATTGAATTTCAACATGAAAGAACATTAATGTTATACAGTCAGACCTCTATAAATGCACCCCCCCCCCGGGACTGAGGGACAGCGTGCATTTAAGGAGGGTGTGCATTTATAGAGAGAAGCAATTTCATTGGTTGCACGTGGTGCACCCATATCAGATCGACCCAGAGATTCTGAAATACGTATAAAGACAGCTCGAATTTGCTTAATTTTTCTACTTCATAACTATAACATTCGAATAAATACAATAAAAATTTGTTAAATCAATCAAACCCACGTTAATAAATAAAACGTATTAAATCAATTAATCAAAAAACACGTTAATAAATAAATCAATAAAACGTAGTAAATCGATTAAAAACCACGTTAAAAAATCAAATCATATTAAACATCATTCTTACATTTATCGAATCAAAGGTTTGTTAAGACTCTTGTATCAGATTTAGAGGTGTAGTATTCTTGTAGCGCCATTGGACTAACTGATTTTTACCCATAGATGTCGCCAATCGAATTTTTCAAAGCTCTAGCAGAAATGCCATTAGAGAGTTATTTATTCATCATCCCTGTCTTGATACTTATCGTAATTTTTATCATTGGGGAAAAGTTTTTCGTGTACCTATTCATTACTGTTATATGCTTCGTTCTCTACATCTTTAAACAACGGATCGATACGGATCTTGATTTATTGAAGGAGAAACAAAAAAACAAATCTAAAATAATTGATTAATAAATTTGAAGAAATTGATAATAAAATTGATGAGCTTTATAATAAAATTGAAGAATTTAATAATAAAATAGATGAACTTTCCGAAAAAATTTCTTTGCTCAGTGAAGAGATTCAACAAAGATTCCAGGAAGAAGATACCCTAACTAATTATTCAAGAAATCTTTCAAGTAATAATTCAAGCAATTTTTCAAGCAGTTCTCGAGGTAAGATTACTATATATCTATTACCTTTGATGAGAGACTCATAGTAAATCAAATATTTCCGTATCATATTAGCTTCAAGACGTACTTCGTTTTCAGATCCAGTCTTTCAGAAATTTAAAACCCTTTTCGACGAGACCATGCGAGAGAACGATTATTCTAAAGCCGATATGATTGCTGAAGTTGTAAGCGATCTTCGAAAGGAGAAAGATCAAGGTTATTTCGAACAAAGCGGTGGAAAATTATTATAATCAAACAACGAAATCCGACGCCAGGACTATAGGAGCGATTAAATCTTGGATCGAGCTCAAGACTAAAGGAAAAAACAAATCTACATTTAACGATAATGATAATGTTAATGAAGTTAGTGGCGATGATAGCGAT